GATACATACATACATACATACATACATACATACATACATACATAGTTTATTTGATGACGCAGGTTACAGAAAACGCAAGACTGAAGTCCCGATGTGGACCTGCCTATCTACTATTTAAAAACTAAGGTGTATACATGTGAATAAATAGAAAGTCAACAGAAATTAAACAATAAGTAATAATAATAGTACAAATATAAATAGATAGGACTATGAACTACAATTTAAGAATATAGTTAAGAACTAGGTAAAATAATTGTCAAAGTTTTAAAAATTTAGGTATGATTTGATTAAGATGAGATTAATAAAGAAATTCCTCATTCCTATTTCTTATCATGGAAGATTCCTTATTATAACTTATAGAATTAATTAAGTCCTTACTAGATCTAAGTCTTTTTTTAAAACATTCTAAGCTAGAAGACTTTTTGATCGAATCAGGAAGTGAATTCCATGCAATGGCAGCTCTATGCCTAAAAGTCAGCCTGCCAATTTCTGATTTAGGACTTGGAAATTCAATTTTCATGGACCTCCTCAGGCAGTGATATGATTGTTTCAACATTACCAGATCATTTAAAACATTGGCATTGCATCTATAGTAAGATTTATAAGCTTCCACTAACAGTCTCTTAGTATAAAAAAATGATACATTGTTCCATCCTTCAGAATTAGTCTTTTCTCCCTGAAAGAACAAGAAATGAAGAAAAAATGAGTGCAAGATGTAAGCTTAAGTGCAAATACTTTTCAAACATTCTGTCTACTCTTTCATGAAAGAAGACTGATGTTATTCACAAGACTTAATTAGTCTGCTTCAATTCTAACTACTATTTATTATTCTAACTAGCCTCCTATAGAAAAAATTGCAAATTGTAACTAAATGTTTCTGTCGTCTAAGAATCACATGACACTGTGAAGACAGCCAAACAAGACCACTTTACATTTTCAGTGATTGCCATTTATGACAAACTCTAGCTCTCTTGTTCAATTGACATGATAAAAATGCTCTCCCTCTTGACCAATTGTCATTTTTCATATTTACACATTACTTTTAGGTAGTCCTACAAAGTTCTAACACCTAAAGAGTTAATTATTTACTTACCATAGTAGTTCAATCCTAACTCTGACACAAGCCATAAAAAAGAGGCAATTCTGCCTTCAGTGTCGCCAATGAGACGCAATAGAGGGTCTGGAAGAGTCGGGCCACTTCCCTTTCTACGGTCATAGCCAAACATTAGCTCACTTCCACCTCCATTTGACTTGGTCACTGTCAGTTTCTCTTTTAGGGGATTTGAGGGAAAATCTGACAAATAAAAAAGACATCTTGATAATAAACTCAAGGTAGACAACAGATGTCCCCAAATATCATGAGAGAACCATTTCTTGTTAACAGGGTCACTCAAGAGACATTACAGGGCTTGACACTAATGGTAGCCGACTAGCCACAGACTAGAAGAAATTCAGTTTTTGATTTCCACTAGCGAGCTTGGCTAGTTAAACTGAAATTGTTGAAACATCTATGTTGTCACTAGCTAAGCGAGTTAATAAGTTAGCATCTCACCCTGCATTACTAACATAATCTTACTCACCCCTCTTCATAACTTTCCCGTATAGTCTATGACCTGCAACCGCAGTTGCTTCCCTAAGAACTTCGGGCAGGTTCACATATCCTGCAATTAGAGCAGCACAATCAAGTAAATCATGCTCTGGAACTATGTCATATCCACATCGATTTCCATCTTCATCGATGCAGGCCACAGTGAAACTGTCTGGAAGTTTTCTCCCTATTGAATGAAATAAAAGTGCAGAAAATTCAGAAACATTAATTCAAACAAGGAGACTCTGGAGACAAAATTAATAATATTAGCCTTGACTATCCAAATTAGATGACAGAAGCTAAAAGGATATAGTGCCTAAAGTTTTACAAAGGCTTCAGTGATAGTTATAGTCTGGGAGCATCAGTAATCCTAAGGGAATTTTTTAAAAAGGGCGAGCCATCCATCAAGATATGCTAAGGGTAGCACTAAGGAAGGTGAAAAATGTTATCAGCAATTTTGACTAGCACTGATAGCTGCTGTAATGAGTTTGAATTGAGATATTTGATATATAAATGATTACAATCAATAATAATAATAATTTTAGCAATTTATATAGCGCATATTTGCATGTGTTTATCAGTAGCGCTTTACAATGAGTTGTTGTTAAAGTTGAGATCAGACCTCAGTATTTTATCAGGCGCCTCTGGCAGCCGCTTCAGTCCATGTATCGATCTCGCCTTCCCACCCATCCCACCCCAGGGGAGGACATCAACCACACAGTAATCGGTGTGGTTGATGTCCTCCCCTGACAAAGCAAAGCAAAGTGAGTAAAGCGTCTTGCTCAAGGACACATCATCAAGCCCCAGGCCAGACTCGAACCCAGGTCATCTGACCCAGAGTCCAGCGCACTGACCACTGGACCACTGATGCCCCAATTGCTATAATTACCTATAAAACTTTCAGGGAGGCTGTCACACTCCATCGGTTCACTTGTGCCAAAAACTGTTCTTTGTCTCAGCTCTGCCTTCTGTTGGTGAAAACAGGTAGGCATAATTATTTGTCAGATTTTGTGACTTACCTGTCACAAAACAACCATAGATCCAACTGCACTCACAGCATAATATAACATTACCACAGAATTTGAGCTCTTCACATTGTTTAAAAGACTGCCTGTACTTAACTAAAATTGTCCATTATTTACAGTGTTTTTCTTTAATAAATTGTGCAAGGTACATAGATTACGGAGCACTGACACTTTTTAATTTCAGACACCTTACCATACACTTCATTACCAATGTCATCCTTGATTCTGAAAAAGATAGTGTTATAATTAAAAGTAGAACCAACAAGACACCCGAATTACTACTTAATTCTCAGGAGCAAAGAGTGGCCATAAAGCACAGACAGAAAACATCCTCAATAAACCTCTCCCAAAATAGGGATTTAGTCCTGCTCTAGGTGATAATACCCTTACTATGTGTCAATACTCGATGATCCCAAAAGCTTATCAGCAAACTTTTCCTTTCCCTTAGGTGTTTCAACATTTCTGAACACCCATACTTCTAGTGGAGACGTGGTTTTCCAAGTTTGAGTAGCCAGTTTAACTCATCGTTTTGAGAAGTGGACTCATCCATTCACAAGTTCACCTTATCATGTCAGTTCAATTCGTCAGCTGGCCTCTTTGACTTGTCATCTTGGGTCGTCTATTGTTTTACCCTTTCCTTATGGCATTTCATTATTTTGCTACCGCATTTCATTGTTTCAACTTGTCCACTCAGAGGGGCTAAAATTCAACTCACATCACATACAGTGTTACCTGATTTCATGCACTTACACATGACATATACATCCATATATATCCATCCATTGCCGACTGAAAAATTGAAATTTGGCAAAATTTGTACAAGAGGCTGAATGCAATTACCAAGAGCTTAAATTAATGTAAAAAAACTTGAAGATCTACAAATTAGCATTGATGACATCTTGACCGGGTGTTATTTACTACATTATCCAAGATTTTATCGTGTGTTTTATTATGAATATTTTTGTAACTACATGTATAAGTTATGTTTTTTCATCCCATACCACAATGGCAAAAAACTTAGATAAATCAAATATTGGTGTACCTACACTCAGAAAAAAAACATCTCTGTTACTCTCATATATACTGTTGCTATTGTGGAGTTAAACCTCTGATCTGGTCAAGAGAAACTTCCTGCATATTTTAAACTTGAGAGAATATGATGTTACATGTTAAATATAATGCAAGCATTGGAATCCCAAGTATATACTCAATATTCAATGACACATCTTCTGATCAACTAGGCAGACACGCTTAAAAGTCAAGCAATTTGTTCAGGCCTAGAATTGTTTTTCAAGATATTGTTCAGAAGTTGTCTAGGAATATCTATGCCGGGATGACCCCTGAACCTCCAGCTGAGGGGTATGTTAAATACTTAAGATGGACATACTAGAGTATTCAAAACTCTGCTAATGTGTGTTACTACATATTCATTTCCATTTTCACTTTCATAAAAACAACATTCACGTGATTCAAGATGAATTCTACGCTGTGGCAAAGGTAGCTCTGCAAAGGATTCATTGTCAGCGGCAATTGGAGCAAATATAGATAAATATGTCATGTGTAGGAGCATGAAATCCAGTAATAGTTCATGTGATACAAGTTGAATTCTAGGTCCTCTGACTGCATGTGGGAGAGTCAAAATGATGAAACACCAGAATGAAATGATGAAACGCCATGACGAAACGATAAAACAGCAAAATGACACACCGATGTGGTCAGCAATGAGTCAAAACTTGTAAAACAACGAGTCCAAGAGGCCAGCCGACAAATCGAACTGTATGGCAAGCCGTTACTACCAAAAGCTATTCAAATTTTAAATCTTGGTGCAACCTCCTTCAGCACTGGCAAGTTGCAAATCTTAAATCGTGAGCTTAAAAGACGCACAGATGAATTTAGTAAAGAGATGGTGGAGTTATTTTGGGAAGCTTCAGTTCTCACTAGTAAGTTTTTCATTTCGACAAATAAACTCGATGTTAATGGTTGAAACATGGTTACTGTAATAAGGTAACCGGCTGTAGGTGTAACATACATACATACATACATANAAACATGTTTCTTGAAGACACAACAGTTCATTATTAAACATCTATATCTGTAATTGGTGAATTTTATTCAATCCATGCAAAGACTTCAATTTTTTTCATCCCCCTTAAAAACATTAGTGGTAATAAAATCTTCTAAGAGTGTAAATATCTGTCTTCAGTAGTATGTGTTAATGCAGCTTCTTTGTATTGAGAAAACGAAATAAAAGAAAACATCTTAATCAGAGTTCTAAGCATTACAAAACCTTGAGACAGTAATAGATTACTGCAGAATCAAGTCTTGAGGACAATGCACTTGAGCTTGTACATGCCTAACCAACTTATTGTTGTTCATTTAATTTATTTTAAGTTGATTCTGGATACAAATAAGTTGTTGTTGTAGTTGTAATAATAATACTAGCTAGTATGTACTTGAAACATAAATTATTAGGAGTTTGCACATTTCGAGGTTCCTATTCAAGTAAAAATAAAAAAAGAAGGCATCCACATTATCTTTGGCAATCTGAAAAAATTCTGCATCATAATAAATTCTTTCACAGAAGAAAGTTGTCACATTGATATAACTGAAAAAGCAATTCCATTAGTAATAGTATTCATGGTTTCTCTTCAGTGACAGCTGCTTGGCAACAGGGTTTTTGTAAATATGAGGTACTCCATCAAAATCAGTTGAGCTTTCCTTGACAACTTTGGTTTCGAAAAGTCCAAATGGGAGGTAACCATTCCCTCCAGCTCAGCTGTCATACACTTTCCTATCCCGTGAGCAACTAAGCCATGGTGACCAAGGGTTTATTATCACTTTGATGTTACTTTGACCTGGTTAGCAGAATATTGAACAGCAAAAAACGAAAAAAGGCTAAACTTCAGAATACCCGGCCACTCATTTACATGTCATTGAATAAGAATAGCATCTATTGTGTTGTGCTTCATTCTTCAAAGCCTCCCGACACATGTAAATGATGTGGCCGCTGGCCGGAAAGTAAGTCTAAGGCAAGACGCGCTCGATTGATGATGACTTTCCGGCCAAGATGTTGCAGTGTGGTTTATCGCTCCGGTTGTTGCATCCGAATGCAATACAATATCTAACCATTGCTATCGATGCCTTTTGAATGCATCAGATTCTCGATAAAAGTAAAAAATAGCGTAAAATGCGAGTTGTTTTTAAATATACAGTGTTACCTTTAAGAATTCACAAAGCCTTTGGCCCAAGTGCCTCAATTCCGTGCAGCTTTAAACAAAACCGCTTTTTCGCGGGCTCAGATCTAATATCTGCCATTACAGGGGTCAAAACTAAATACGCAATTTTTACCCCTTCATAACTTTATTTACCCTATTTTCGCGATATTAGTGAACAGCCGAAACTAAGTTCGATCTTCTAGAGCCGTTTGATCACCGCACAAGCTCCAGCACAGAAATACATGCCAATTAGCACCTCGGTAAAAAGCCTAAATTGAAAAACGATACCGACAAAGTGATCCACTTCCGCTAAAAGTGTGAGTTAGCGTGTATTGTTTACTCACATCGTGTCCTTGTCATTAGACGCATGCACTCGACTGCTAGATACCGGCTTTGAATTTTCTAAATCAAGCTCTGCTTAAATAATGGTTTGCCCAAGGAATGTTGCTTCGCTTCAGATTAACTCTTACATAAAGGGATATCACGACTACCAGGAAATCTGGAAACCAACAGTGAATGAAAAACTTTCAACCAGAGGAGAGCCCGATAACCCAGTGGACAAATACGCCGTATGTGTGATGCAAGGCAATTTCCATTGTTCTTTCTTTGTTCAGGAGTCATCGGTTAGCTATTGTATATCGTTTGGTCTTTTGTCTTGGCTCTTGTGAACCGGTACACGAGGACAGAACCCAAGATCAAGAAACTATTGTTGGACATCCGAAGAAGGGAAAGAGTGGACGATTCGCTAAGACAATCTTTTATTTTCTGAGAGTGGATAATAGAAATTCATGCACTGTTATTGTGACAGGCATGCCTGTTAATCTTGGCGACGGTGAAGGGATGCAAGTGCCATGCAAACTTTTGTTTGAAGGAGAGAAGAAATACGTCAGTATTCTTGAAAGAGAGTTCACAAAGCTGAAAGACTAAAATTGGATTTTTCGTCAACTCTTTAGGCACATGGATTTTCATCACATCGACATGTTAATAACTTTTATAAAGCACCGCACATACAGTAAAGGGATTAATGCACAGAGAACTGTTTTACACAATTATAAAGGGATTAACGAGCTGTGAAATGTTCGAAACTGTTATTACATAAATATATATTCTAATATATATATTAGACAGCGTCTGTTCTTTTTCATTCAGCTGGTAACTTAACTTCGAATTATCGGCGTAAAATCCGACCTAAGGGAACAGAAATTACTTCGAATTAGCGGGGACTTCGAATTATCCGAGGTAAAATGACTCAGAAAAGTAGGGCAAAACGAAGGGAAATGAATTTTACTTTGAATTAGCGGGGACTTCGAATTATCCGAGTTCGAATTATCGGGGTCCAACTGTACTTCATCTGATTCAGTTATGTAGGATGTGTAGTTAGTTATTCGTCGTCTCTCCCATCTATCTTTGCACTTTGCTCTGACGAAAGCGTTTAGAGAACTTGACTCGGCAACTTTGAGAATTGGTCCTAACAGACTCACAACTCTCGTCATGTAAGATTTGTCATTAATATCTTTTCGCCCTCATTAATCTTTCCGTTACGGAAAAAGATTCCACACTTTTCAGACTTTGCTTAAATTCGTCTAACAACTATGTTGTGTAGAGCAGTTCCAAATCACCTAAATAAACCCCTAGCTTCTTTTGTGCTCACCAGCCTCCCATGTGCATCCATACTTCTTTTAAGTGCTTGGCAGTCTAACGTGTGCATCCTTTACCTAATGGTTGCATGTCGCGAGCTAACCATTTCTTCGGTATAATTCAGCTCATGACATAATAGGAAGTTAATGTTAAGTTCTTAATGTAGAAATTGGCCTTACAGAAAAGGTTCAGCTAAACTGGAGTTGTAATGGGTTATTTACCTCAGAGGCATTAGCAGAACTGCCTCTTCGTGGAACTCAGTCTTCTGTAACTTTCCTCTATTTTCTTGCATTTATTGTTGGAGACATGGCAGCAGCATTAATGGTAGGCAAGTAAGACTTCGGGTCTTTTAGCCCTGCCAGTTCATTTTTTTTTTTTTTTTCGATATTTGGAATGACTTATTTTGCTCAATCACTGCGCTTTTCTGCACATTATTTGGTGGTACCAAACCTGGTAAAATATTGTGGATGGGGGAGGGGGTGTAAAGATGTGTGCAACGGGCTTTCATCTTATTTATGAGAAGTTACCATACCCCTTGTGGGCTTCATTCCACAAAGACTGGGGATCACCATCAGCAAAATATACCCCTCCAAGTCTATAAAACTCAACCATTGATTGCCACATTTATGCCCTCTTTTATCACCCACCTAGCTACTCCCTCTGGGTTTTTTCTCCCACATCTGGCTTCTATTGATTGGAAGAGGACATCACTATCAGCTGAGCAAGGTAAAGCCTAAATGGCGAATCACTTTTATTTCGTCCACACAAAATGTCTGAGAAAGAGATGTAGGCTACTGAAACCAATAGTAAAGCTACAGTCTGAGTCATTACCAGAAAGTTGTGCTTATCCTTCTTCAGGGTCTCTTTGCCCTGTCCAAAGAAAGGTAAGTATTTTCTTTCATCATTTGATCATGTTTATTTGTAACCTTATGTAACCTCTTTGGAAGGCCTTGCTTGAAAGAAAATAAACTTACATGTTTGATTTTAATTTTGGCTTTTACATTCTGTAGGGGATGACAAACCTCATCTTGAGCCCCATTACGCTGTTTGAAAGAGTGCAATAAGTTGGACTTTGAAAGTAGGGTGATGTTTTTGTATAAAGTAATGCTTTGTTAGCCATATCTGGAAGAGGATCAGATCTAAAAAATGTGTTTTTCTTTCTTTTCTGTTACCGTTTTAAAATCTCACGAACAAAGAATAAAATTAAAAGCATACCCTAATTTGCTAAGCTTGCTTCTTGGAGAAAAAAAATACAAATCATTAACAGACTGTGCTTTAATTAGTTTAACCTTTAACTCCCAGAAGTGATTGACATGTAAGTTCTCCCTGCAATATCTATACATTACCCAGCAAACAGGTGATGAGAATACTCAAATTTATCAAGTAGAAGTTGTTATTTTTTGATCTAACACCAAATCCCTGTTATTCATTTACAAGGAAATGTATAGCAGCTGGAGGGGAGAATTAAGAATCAGATCTTGGGGGTTGAATGGTAAAGCAAAACCTGTGCCTTGGTTTGCTTTGCATGTTAATTAACTTTGGTAGGATGTGGGGAGAGAACCTGGATCGTATTTACTCTAGGTATCTCAACCAATACATCAGTTGATATATCTTTTTATACTCATCCAATATGTCGGTTGACACTCAATTGGCACTTGCTCGACACTCGGTTGACACTTGGTCATCATTAGGTCAACAGTCAGTCTATCGTTGGCTGTGGTCCTCGGTTGAGACAGCCCATAGCCAATAACCTTAACTGATGTTTTGATTGAGTCTTGACCGAGTATTTACCAACTATCGACTGACTATCAACCGAGTGCCAAGCGAGTATCCAAGGATTCTTGACCGATATATCTGTTGAGAGTACCTACAGTAAACATGATCCAAGAACCTAAATAATGAAAAAAAGCATTTCATCTTTGTTTGTGTTTTAGGCCACCCAACCTTTTAAGTACCTGGCTACATGCTAAAAAACAAAGATCAGTAATGAAGAAAGCAAGTGACCATACCTTATATTCGTATGAATGTAAATTCATCACCTCGTAGGCAATTTGTCACCACTGAATACCATTATTAACCTAAGGGACCTAACATTATTTACAAGGAGGGAGGGGGGGGGGCTGGTGGAATAAGAAATAAACTTCTCAAAAACTTGAAGTCCCCCCTTTATTGGGGACACACTTTTTATTGGTCACCCCCCTCCATAATTCTTTAAATTAATTTTTTGGCACTCAAAAAATGATCTAAGATACTATACCAAAAAATTTTCTGTAAACCAAAATGAAATGTTATGAAGAATACCATCCTACCTTTTCTAAAAGTGATGCACAAGGAGATGAAAGTGACAGGGGAAAGCAGTGAATCTGACGATGAAATACTTTAAGGACTTTCAATTGTCAACCATTTGTTTAGATTGAGATTGAGTCTTTTGTTTATCAGAGTCTCCAATTAAAACATAAAAAGTCAGTTTTGCTGGTATTGATATTGCAGAATTTTAATTGGTCCCCCTTTTTTATGTGCTCACAAATTATTTGTCCCCCTGGTTTCCACCAGTCCCCCCCTCCCAGTAAATAATGTTAGGTCCCTAATTAAGTGCATGATAGGCATTTCTATTCAATTGTAGTTTACTTTTTCTCTTGTAAAAACTTATATTTTTGGCATTTTAATGCTACCCATTTATGATAACTAATAACACACAAACATCACCTTTCTGAGCCCTTTATAATTGCCATTTTTAGTCATAACTGTCTTGTATACTTTTTACTAGTCCATCAACAATGGACTAGTAAATTCTGAAAGTCATACTTTACTTAAGTGAAAAGAAGTTTGTAAGGATGTGTAGATAGGATCTTGGTGATTTCTTTGTGGATTCTTGCAGAATCATAAATTTAAGATTTAATCCTGTGATTTCCAAAATTCTCCATATCTTTACCATTGAGCAAAGGTTTGCACCTTTAATTCTGTATGTTGATGCTCAAGAATCCTCTGATCTGCAGCCACTGGTGTTTGGCTATGTCTCCTTGCAGATTTCTTAGAATCTTTGGTTATGATTTACAGGTTATTTTTAAATATAAAATATTTTAAAATATTCCATCTCTGTCCCTCTCAACCAAGGTTGTTTTGGTGGATGGAATGTAATGCTACATTGCTGATTAGGTTTTGCATGTTTTCCTCAGTTAGGGTTTTACATTGGAATATGTGCATCGTTTTGGCGTTCTTCTCTGTTATAAGTAGGAAGTTTAATATTTTACCTTACTTCTGAAGCAACTTGGATGTGAAGAAGGGCAACTACTTTTGTGTTGTAACTTTGTCCTCTCCTCTGAGGAAAGACATTTTCCTCAGAGAAGAGAGGAAAGAGGGATACCACAAGACCAGTCCCAGTACTTCTCTTTGATTTCTTCCAAATGTTTGTGAGATCTCCTTTTGTTGGAAGCTTCTCTTCCATTTATTGTTCAAGGAACGTGTCAAGAAATGGATATTGAAGAATGAGGCTCACGAAGTCAAGAAAGTGACCCAGATCAGAGCTTCCATTTCCAGTTTATTTCAATTCCCTCTTCCATTAGTCTCCTTGCAGCTGTTCTTTGTCTCTGGATCCCTGTCTCCCTCCCTCCTCCCATTGTGGGGAGAGAGACACAGGGATCTCGAGACAAAGAACGGCTGCAAGAGGAGACTACTCTTCCCTAGGCTCATACTTCAAAACCTCACAAAAGCCTTATTTTAAATTCTTAAGGAAACAAAGTTTATCACAAGGGAAGTGAAAATACAGAATGGGTGGCCAAATATGTTCCCCAAAGGAATTCAAATGATTCTGGCATAAAATGTTGTTTGAAAACTGACAAGGATTCCTTGGAAGAAGAGTCACTTTCACCTAATCTAGCTTCTCAGAGAAAGAAACATTCTTTCCAAAGTTTGTAAAGTTTAATGTGGTGTTCACTTTATGTGCACTGTTGCTCTCAATACATCTGCATGCTATCTCTCATGGTTTTTGTCTGGATAGGGAGTTCACCAAAAACATGTCTGATATTGGAATAGGGCTCAAGTTGGAATTGTCTGGTCAACACATTGCTTGGAAGATTGTCACTGCAGCACTTAAGAATCACTTTGACTTCAAAAACATCGGGAACTTTACTTGTAAATTATTGTCATTTATGCTATCATTAGTGGCTTGAAATGAGGCTTAAACACAATTTGTAGGTTAGTTCACACCCCCTTTTAAAGCTTCCAGTCCATAGAGGTAAACCTTCCTTTCTTCTTACCCTTATTGCTGGTGTGAAAATGTCTGAACCAAACTTACAAAGCTAGTCTTGGGTACCTTTAAAGGGGTGACTTCAACATTTCTGACAAGCATCCCCATACATTTTGCAGGGGAGTACTGGTAACCCAGGCAAATAACACTAAGCCCATTAAATCTCACAAATTTTTAAGGAATCATCCTTTTACTGTTCTCTGTTTGTCACTGAAGCTACACAAAGCAGATTATTTTTTAGTTT